TTGTGGCTTTGATTTGCATTTCCCCAGGACCAGTGATTTTAAAGCATCTTTTATTTGTTGGCCATTTTTATGAGTCATAAGATCTGAAGACATCACTGCCATCTGTTGTATGCCATCTCCTAACTGTAGGAAAAGTGCCTAAAGGAGCAAAATGCAGTCTTTTAAAGCTACAGAGATAGAATGTGAACTAGTGGTTGCCTGTGGCTAGGAAATAGGGACGGGCAGAATGGGGAGTGACTAGCAATGGGTATGGGGTTTCATTTTGGGGTGATGAAATATTCTAAAATTAGTAGTGATGGTTTCACAACTCTGTGAACTTAGTAAAAACCATAGAATTATGCAATTTAAATGGATGAATCTTGTGCATACATAGCATATCTCAATAAAGCTGTTTTAAAAATACTGCCTTTTGAAGGTAGAACTAAAGCAGTAACAGTGAAGGGCGAGGATGTGGGAAGGTTGGAGTGTGAGTTTGGGGTTAGTGGACACAAACTACTAAGGATCAACAACAGGGTCCTACTGTATAGCACAGGGAACTATATTCAATTCCCTATGATAAACCACAATGGAAACGAATATAAAAAAGAATGTATGTGTATGTGTAACTGAATCACTTTGCTTTTCAGAGGAATTTAACACAACATTGAAAATCAACTATACTTCAATTGAAAGAAAAAAAAAAAAGTAAAAGTGATAATAACAAATGTCACTACTTCATTAGTCAACTCTATTGAGTAGGAGAGAATGTTACACATTTTGGGTGAATTTACATTCCCACCCAGAATTTCAGGCACCCTCTCCCTTTCTCCATTGTTCCAAATCAATTCCTCTTTGTTAGGTTGGAGTCTGTCTTCCTTAGTTTCTTCTAACCCAGAAAACTTCTTTTTTTTTTTAAGGCCATGCTGTACAGCATGTGGGATCTTAGTTCCCCAACCAGGGATTGAACCCATGGCCCCTGCATTGGAAGCATGGAGTTTAATCACTGGACCACCAGGGAAGTCCCAATAATCCAGGAAACATCTTCATTTCTTCAGCAGAGGCAGGCCTGCATATTTGGCAGAAAGTTAGGGAGCAGTCACCCAGCCTGAGGTATCTCTGGGTCTCACCCCCACCCTCGAAAATGTCATGGTTGGGGGGAAAAGGACTCTTGCAATTCCCATGTCTTAGGGTCCTGAATGCATCCTGCTGGTTTGTCTTATTTGTCCTGCAAGTCTAACTGGAGCAAGGCTTTGAGGGGAGGAGTCAGGTCTGGGTGACTGGAGGAGAAGTCACCTGAAGTGCAGCCCTGGGCGTGTCCCTGTGGCTCGAGGCCGGCCCCCAGGCCCACCAAGACCCTGGCTTTCTCAGGCTGAGTGCCTTTGGGCGTAAGTCACAGAGCTGCCGGTGTACCAAGAGCTTTGCAAGTTCATCTCTGTGTGTATCCAACTCTGCCACGGTTCAGTACAGTTGAGTTCAGTCGCTCAGCCATGTCCGAGTCTTTGTGACCCCATGAATCGCAGCACACCAGGCCTCCCTGTCCATCACCCACTCCCGGAGTCTACCCAAACCCATGTCCATCGAGTCAGTGATACCATCCAGCCATCTCATCCTCTGTCTTGCCCTTCTCCTCCTGCCCCCAATCCTTCCCAGCATTAGGATCTTTTCCAATGAATCAACTCTTTGCATGAGGTGGCCGAAGTATTGGAGTTTCAGCTTTAACATCAGTCCTACCAATGAACACCCAGGACTGATCTCCTTTAGGATGGACTGGTTGGATATTCTTGCAGTCCAAGGGACTCTCAAGAGTCTTTTCCAACACCACAGTTCAAAAGCATCAATTCTTTGGCGCTCAGCTTTCTTCACCATCCAACTCTCACATCCATACATGACTACTGGAAAAACCATAGCCTTGACTAGACGGACCTTCGTTGGCAAAGTAGTGTCTCTGCTTTTTAAACAAGGTCTGTGGCTTAAAGGGATCAGACGCCCAGGCCAGCAAGGGCTATTCTGTCCCCTCGGGCTCACAGGATTCTGAGCTGCAGTGGCCCAGGTCGTGTTCTCTGGAGTCTGACCTGCATGGCTCCAGCTCTCTCTCTCTCTTTCCTTCCCGGTTTTCCTCCCCATTTCTGCCGGCTTGTGGGATCTTTGTTCCCTAACCAGGGATTGAACCTGTGCCCTCTGTAATCCAAGCTGCAGAGTCCTAACCACAACCCTCCGGGGAATTCTCTTTCATTTCTCCTCCATCCTGCTCTCCTTCTCTTCTTCTCTTCTTTGTCTTCTTTTCACCTCCAGAGTTTCTCACGCTTGTGACAAGCGTCATCCAGTTCCCACCCAAGTGCAGTGCTGTCTCAATGATGTCGATTTTTTTTTTAAGAAAAAAAAGTGTTTATTGGAATATAATTGCTTTACAATGTTGTTGTTAGTTTCTGCTGTACAGAGACGTGAATCAATCACATGCATTCATATATGCCCTCCCTCTTGACCCCCCCTTCCCCTATCCCACCCATCTAGGTTGTCACAGAGCATGGAGCTGAGTTCCCTGTGCTTTATAACAGGTTCCTCCTGGCTATCTGCTTTTCTAATATGTCAGTTCATCCCAATCTTTTCTGTACCTGTGTCCACATATATCTGTTCTCTACGGCCGCATCTCTCTTCCTGCCTTGGCAATAAGTTTATCTGTACCATTTTTTTCTAGATTCCACATATATGCGCTAATATATGGTATGGACGTGGCTGTCTTCTGCATATTGATATGATAGTGTGGTCTGTTCTAGAACTTCATATAATTGAGATCGTATATCCTCTCTTTCACCATCATGTTTTTGAGATTTGTTCATGTTGTGACTGTAGATTGTGGCTTTTTTCTTTTTTTCCCCAAGTAGTATGACTTTGCTGTGGTTTTTTTATAGCTGAACATCTGGGACATTTCCAAGTTTGGATACTACAGATGAAACTGCTATGGATATTCTTGTAGAAGTCTTCTCGTGGACACATGTTTGCCTCTTTCTTAGAGAAATACCTAGAAATGAAATTGCTAAGTCTATGGTTTTATTTTTCATTTTATAAGAAACTGAAGGACTTTTTTTCCAAGGTGATTTTACCACTTACACTCCCATCAACAACATTTGAGAGTTTTGGTTTCTCCATATCCTCACCGATGAGCTTCCCTGCTGGCTCAGCTGGTAAAGAATCCGCCTGCAATTCGGGGGACCTGGGTTCGATCCCTGGGTTGGGAAGATCCCCTGGAGAAGGGAAAGGCTACCCACTCCAGTATTCGAGCCTGGAGAATTCCATGGACTGTATGTCCATGGGGTTGCAAAGAGTCAGACACGACTGAGCAACTTTCACTTTCACTTATCCTCACTGACATTTGGTGGGGTCAGTCTGTTTAATTGTAGTAATTTGGGTTGGTGTGTTGGAAATGTAACATTTTTATTAATTCCAGTTTACTATTTTTTTGGTGGCTAGTGTTTTTTGTGTTTTGCCTAAGAAATATTTGCCTATTCCAAGGTCATAAAGATATTCTCTTGTTTTCTTTTAGATGCTGTATGGTTTCAGTTTTTCATTTAGGTCTAGGATTTATTTATTTTTAAACATTGCTGTATTTATGGTTGTGCTGTGTCTTCATCATTAGGCGTGGGCTTTCTCTAGTTTCAGTGAGCAGGGCTTACTCTTCGTTCAGGTTAATGGACTGCTCATTGTGGTGGCTTCTCTTGTTGCAGAGCATGGGCTCTGGGGCCCAAGCTCAATAGCTGTGGCTCACAGGCTTAGTTTCTCTACAGCACGTGGGATTTTCCTGGATCTGAGACTGAACCTGTGTCTCTTGCATTGGTGGGTGGATTCTTTACCACTGAACCATCAGGGAAGCCCTAAGCTGAATTTTTTGGTGTAATGTAATGAGTTGTTTCTTTTTTTTTTCCTTTTGGGTAGACAATTATTCTAGCCCACTTGTTAAAAAGATTTTTCTTTCTCCATTGAATTATCATGGTACTTTTGCTGAAAGTCAATTGGTCATATACATGTAGGTCTATATCTGGACTCTGTTTTCTGTTCCATTGATCTGTTTGTATATCCTAATTCTAATACTGTCTTGATTACTGTTGTTTATAGTAAGTCTTAAAATCGGCTACTGTAAGTCCTCTAACTTTGTTAAGATTATTTTCCCCTATTCTAGGTCCTTTCTGTTTCCACTTAAATTTTAGAATCTGTTTGTCAATTTCTAAAAAAAAATTGCCTTTTAGAATTTTGATTGGATTTATATAGAATCTATTGATCAATTTGGGGAGAATTGACATCTCAGCAATATTGTCTACTCATGCACTTCACAGAGGGTACCCTTCTTTCAGCATCAGCTCAGAGCCAACTTTTCTTTCTTCTTATGACTCAACCATCATTAATTAACTGCCTGAGCCTCCTTCACTTCAGCCAGCAGCCCTGCCCATGCGTAAGCTGTCGATGCTGTAGGCATTGGCCTCTTTCTCGTGTAAGGTCTTGTAGGAGACTTGTCCTTTTCAGACGTCCTCTTTAGAGGGACTCTGAACCCCTTTCATGGTCTGTGTGCGGGAGAGAAGATAACACCCTTTTCTTGTGATTTCTGCGGGTCCCACCTTTAAAGTGTCTTCCCATGATGCATGCCCAGGGTCTTAAGTGGGCGAGAGCATGGGGCCGAGAGGTGAGGAACACACCACTCCCCATCATGGGATGTGAGGCATCACAGGCTTAAGAAAGGAGCTTTGAGTCTGAACAAGCCTGAATTTGCTGGCCCATTCCAATGCTAATTAGCTGTGTGACCTTTGGTAGTTTATCCACTCATCTGAGCCTCAGTTTCTGCGCCTGTAAACAGAAGGTGATGGCATTTCTTGTATTGGTGCTTGGGATTGTTCAGTCGGATGCTATGTGTGGACACACCCGATGTGGTACTTGCTTTGAGTAGAGGCTCAGTGAATTTTGCCTCCCTCACTCTACTTCCTACCACTGCCTGGGATTTGATCTTCATTCTATCTTTATTCCTTCATTCCAAGGCCGTCCTGGAGCCTCCCAGCAGGCACCCAGGTGCTGAAGGAGTCGTCTTACTGTATGGGAAGTCTTGGCACCCTTCGGAACTTACAGAGAGATCCACGGACAGAGTAAGTGGCCACTTTATGCTGCTCCAGAGCATGACCCGAGGAGTGGGTAGTGGACTCCCTCTGTTACTTGTTACTCAGCACCCCGATGTGGCCTGAAATTCCTCCCGTTAATCATTTCCATTTTTAAATTGTCTTCTGGAATCATTGATTCACCTGGAGAAACAGTCCACACTCTACAGGAGTGTAGAAAGCCATTGTCAAGGGTGGAGAGGAAGGCCATCTTCAAGGGTGGAGGTTGGCTGTCTCTCCTTCACTAGCACACTGGACCCTTTAAACCTGATTTCATTGGCTGACTTCTTGGTGCAGAGACTCTGTCATTTACCTTTGTTGATCAGGAGCATTGAGAATGGGCCCTGATTGCAGCAAGAGGTCATCAACATGTGAGTGGCCTTTAAAAATTATATGATTCTGACACATGCTACAACATGGATGAACCTTGAGGTCACGGATGCTAAGTGAAATAAACTAGACACCAAAAGACAAATATAGTATGATTCTACCTATATGAGGTACCTAGAATAGTCAAATTCATAGAGATAGACTGTAGAGTGGTGGTTGCCAAGGGCAGGGGAAGAGGGTATGAGGGGTTGTTGAATAAATACAGTGTCAGTTGGGGAAGATGAAATTGTTCTGGAGATGGACAGTGGTGATGGTTATACAATGATGTGAGTGCACTTAACACGACTGAGCGGTGCACTTAAAAATGATCAAAACGGTACATTTTATTGTATATATTTTAGCAGAGTAAAAAATGTATGTGTGCATGTAATCTGATCAGTGTCCTAAGTTTTTAAACTGTGGAGGAGCCTGGCTGGCTACAGTCCATGGGGTGGCAAAAAGTCAGATATAACAGAGCAACTCAGCACAGCACATAATCATAATACTGTGAGCTAACATTTGGTAGATGAAAACATTGCTGCTTTTGCTCGATTATTCAACCAATATTCCTTCAGCTGCCAGCTCGACCTGAGCCCCTTAACCAAAGCTTGAGGATTCAGAGATCCAGTCCCAGGCTTACTCTTCCAGACCTGAATTCTGAGAGTGAACACTCGGCCCTTGAACCCCTGATGCCGTGAGCAAAGCTTGTGCTCTGGTGGAGACCAAGGAAGAACTGACCGGTTCCTCCTGGTGTTTGAGACAATGATCTAGCTTTAGCCTGTTGTGTAAGGAGGGTCTCGGGAGGACAGGGATGCCGTGCCAGTGGAGGCCAGCCCTGGGCGCAGGCATGGGGTCCTGACGTTGCCTGGTGAGTCTGGGAGACAGTGGGGAGCCCTATGGAGCTCAGGTAGGGTACTCAGTGCCCAGTGAGTTTTCAAATTCAGTGCCAGCTTCACCTCAGTCTCCTGTCAGCTGGTGACCTCAGCTGAATTAACTAAGCCTCTGTAAAAGTTCAGTTTTCTCATCAGTAAAACACTTCTGCCCAGTTCGACAGGATTAAATGAGAAAGTGTGTGTCAAGCATTGAACTGGGCTCTCCCTGTGTCATCCGTGTGTCTGTCATCTACAGACCTCTGTCTATACGCACATGCGAACTGGATGGGTCGGGGTGGGAGAACTTGGAGGCCTGGAAACAAGCCCTGATTACTTACAGGTTTCACTTCTCTGTTTTTCAGCCAGGGTGTCTTGGCTCTGGGGCGTGGTGAGAACATCTGGGTGTGGCTGGCGCCCCAGGTCTCCCCAGCCTAGCCTCTTTGTCGAGTGTGGCTGGGAGTGTGGGACCCAGGGCGGAGGATCTGGGTGGAGCCAGGGGTGTCAGCAAGGCTGGGTGCTGAGGCTGTGAGAGCTCAAGGCTGACTCGTTGCTTCCTGTGTTGGGGTCCAGGTCAGAAGTCCAGGCCCTTGGGATGAGCCAGTCTGCTTTGTTGCCATGGAGATGGCACTGTCTTAGCCCAGACCCATCCCTCCCACTTCCTGGAGAGATAGTTTGGGAGGCAGTGGATCCTTTTCGTCCACGGAAGATGTTGTGTCGCACACATTCATGGGTGGCAAGCGTGGATGACTTAGATGTGATAGAGCCCAAGGACAGAAAGGGAAAGGAAAGGAAGGGACGGGTCGAGGCTTCATCGGCCACTGATAACTCCGCTTGAGTCCGTTTCTCAGATTTTGCATAGTCATCAGTTGTGACTGTTGGAAGGCTGAGTGCTCAGCGCTCAGGCAGTCAGTTGTGTCCAACTCTATGCAACCCCATGGACTGTAGCCTGCCAGGCTCCTCTGTCCATGGGATTCTCCAGGCAAGAAAACTGGAGTGGGTTGCCATGCCCTCCTCCAGGGGATCTTCCCAACCCAGGGATCCAACCCAAGTTGGATTCTTTACCATCTGAGCCACCAGGGAAGCCCATTCCCTGGCAGTCCACTAATAATTATAATAACTAACTCTTATTGAGCACCTACTGTGTGCCAGGAACCGCACATATTATACCCATCTTTATGGGCTTTGTTCGGATGGGAAAAAATTACATCTCTATTTTTATTAACTCCTAATGGATATTCAGCATTTCCTTCAATTATGAGTATAGACGGCGGACCGCAGTATTGTCAGTTTACTTTCTGGTTTATAATATTTTTTAAGTTTCGTGTTATAAGCCTGTACTGCTTCTCATGTTCATTTACTTTTTTTTTTAAGGCTTTTATTTATTTATTTATTATTTTTGGTGTGCTGGATCTTCATTGCTTTGAGAGGGCTTTCTCTAGTTTTGGCGAGCAGGGGCCACTCCTCGTTGTGGTGCGCGGGCTTCTCATTGTGACGGTTTCTCTTGTTGCAGAGCACAGGCCCTAGGGCGCATGGCCTTCAGTAGCTGTGGTGTGTGGACTCAGTAGTTGCAGCTCCGGGGCCCTAGCACACAGGCTTAGTAGCTGTGGCTCATCGGCTTAGTTGCTCCACGGCATGTGAAATCTTCCTGGAGGGACAGGTGGATTCTTATCCATTCCATCACCAGGGAAGTCCTTCATTTACTTTTAAAAAAAAATTGTTTATTTATTTGGCTGCGCTGGATCTCAGTTGCAGCGTGGGGGATCTAGTTCCCTGATCAGGGATCGAAACTGGGCCCTCTGCACTGGGAACAGAGTCTCAACCACTGGACAGCCAGGGAAGTCCCTTTCATTTACTTTTAACGGAAGTATTCTCCAAAGGATCTTTTCCAGTGACAAACAGTTTGATAACTTTTATTGTTTTATAACAATAACACTATAGTTTTCCTCGCCTATGTATCTGATACCCTATTTTAACTGTCTAAGGCAGGTGATCTTTTCCCTGCCTTAAAGATGAGGAGACTTATGGACTTCCCTGGTGGTCCAGTGGCTTCGACTCTGTGCTCCCAATGCCTGGGGCCTGGGTTTGATGCCTGGTGGGTGAGCTAGATCCCACATGTCTCAACTAAAGATCCCACTTACCACAGTGGAGCTGGAAGATCCTTTGTGCCACAAGGAAGACAGGGAACAGCCAAACGAACAATAAAATAAATAAATAAACATTAAAAAAAGAGAAAACGATGAGACTTAGACTTAAAGATCTTACGTCACTTGTCCAAGAGTGACAAGTGTCCACTGTCAGGAGCAGAGCTGAGACTAACAAGACTAACATTGCATTTTTCCCAACCTATTTTCATAATTGTATACACAGCATTTTCTCATTTATTTTTTCCTCTTGGGTCACATAAAACTCTGTGAGCAGGACAAGGCAGAGCTTATCCTCATTTTACAGAGGAAGAATTTGCGATTCAGAGAGAGATAAATAACGACTTGCCCAAGGGCTCATGTGGCAGTTTTCAGAGCTGGGATTTCATTTCAGTTCTGGTGGAGTCTGCTGGCTGGGTCTGGCCAAAGTGGGGTCCATTCACTGAGGGAGACAGACACACAGAAAGAAAAGGGACAGCCTGAGCTCATGTGCTTCGGCTTTGCATAGGCCCAGCTTTGGGGGACTGTCCTTTCCTGACCTCTCCCTCCCAGGGGTGGGAGGGTGTGTTCGGGACTCTGAGGTGTAGAGCCAACCCCTTGTCTTGGAATAAACTGAGCACACGGAGGTGGGCCACCTGGCTTTTCTCTACCAACTAGTATCCCTCCTTCTGCGTGTGCGTTTTCTAGCCCTGCTTCCGGCCAGAGACCAGCTGCCTGAATGGGAGTTTTCTAGGCTGAAAGATGAGACTTCCTCTCCTTGAATACAGATAACAGAGGGCTGGACACTTTTTGACAACCCAAACTGATCACCTGGTAAAGAAAAGGGAGAGAACCAAGGTCCAAGTGACTTTTCTGTTGGCACTGACAAATATAGTTTTTTTAAAAACTGGCAAAAACAAAAAAAAACACAAAAAACCCCTAGCTGGTTCATTTCCTTTGGCTGTGCTCTGTCTTAGCTGCCACACGCGGGCTCTTCCATCTTCAGCGCCACATGTGAGATGTTTAATTGTGTCATGCAAGCTCTTACTTGAGGCATGTGGGATCTAGTTCCCTGACCAAGGATCAAACCCGGGCTTCCTGCATTGGGAGCCCGGAGTTTCAGCCACCTGACTATCAGGGAAGTCTTGTAGCTCACCCATCTTCTAACAGTCTGTGTATGCAGTGATGAACATGGCTCTAAGCTGCTACCTCGGTTCCTGGATTATGAGTTTTCGAGAAAAGTGCCCAGTGATGTATAGCACAGCAGGCATGAAGGCTCCGGCCACAGCCAATAGGAGCACAATGGATAGCAGCGTTTGGCTAGAAATAGAATCATTTAAATATAAAAGTGTCATATTTTGATGTTGTGTTGAGTTAAGGAAATGTTGATAATCACACAGTGAGCGGATTGGTATCGTGATGAATTCTCCACCACCCACTATAACTCAGTTCAGAACATGGAGGCACATGGTAGGGGCCCAGTAAAACTTTCCCTGAATAACCCTGGGAGTCAAGCCGACTTGATGAATTGCTCGCTGGGCTTTTTGACACGACAATCAGACAAAGAATTTAAAAGTGACCTGGGTATTCCATGGTTATTCCAAGTCTCACAATAATCTTTCAGAATAAA